AAAGCCACAAATAATCAAGACAATATATTTTAAATCTAATAAAGTATCATGTCAACATACTTTAAAGAAATCTCTAAGTAACAGCGAATTCCTGTTAGGCAGCCATTTTGAATTTTCTGAGGCACAAATCAGAAAAAACAATACAATAATTGTGATCTACCCCATATTTCCTTCAATTTGAGTATAATATAGCCATACTTTGAAGAGATCAGAAAATTATTGCGAAATCCTATATAAGTTGGCCATTTTGAATTTTACGAGGCTCAAATCAGAATAAGCCACAGGAAGAACAGAATCGCACCTTTGAACAGAATACACTTTTCAGGATGGAAAATTCAAAATGGCCACCTTAACATTACCCAGACTGCCTAAAAACTAATCAGTTCTAAACTTTCCAAAGAAACATCTCTAAAATTTTAGGATGAATCCATGAAACCTGTAAACAACCCTCAAGATACACGATTTAAGGTATTACTTCACAGTGTATCAGCTTTTTTTCTACAATTCAGATTTTCCTGAAAAAAATCCTGGTAAAAGATATATACTGATGTATTACAAAATATGTGAAAATTGGAAAGATTGACCGTTTAGTTATTTCTAAAAAAATGTTTTAATTTAACATTGCTCTCAATGGGAAATTCTTTTTTATTTTTTAAAACAAGCCTTCACAGACACGACTTAAGGATGAAAAATCAAAACTGGCCGCCTTAACATTTACCGAGAATGCCGAAAAACTAATCAGTTCTAAACTTTTATAGGTAGAAACATCCCTGAGAATTTCAAATGAATCCCTCAAACGGTTTGGCTGGAAACCTGTATACAAGCCTTGACAGACAAGATTTTAGGACGGAAAATCCAAAATGGCTGCCTTAACATTTACACAGAATGCTGAAAAACTAATCAGTTCTAAACTTTCATAGGTAGAAACATCCCTGACAATTTCAAATGAATCCCTCAAACGGTTTGGCTGGAAACCTGTATACAAGCCTTGACAGACAAGATTTTAGGACAGAAAATCCAAAATGGCCGCCTTAACATTTACCCAGAATGCCGAAAAACTAATCAGTTCTAAACATTCATAGGTAGAAACATCCCTGAGAATTTCAAATGAATCCCTCAAACGGTTTGGCTGGAAACCTGTAGACAAGATTATTCGGGACGCCCGCCCACCCAACAGCCCGGCAAACTGATTACAAGAACACAAATGTGTACAAAATGTCCCCACCTATGGGTGATCCCGTCAAATGGTTATCCTAAAAATGAGTAGACAAGACTTTACCGACACAATTTGAGGACGGAAAATCCAAAATGGCTGCCTTAAAATTTACCCAGAATGCCATAAAATTAGTCAGTTCTAGATTTTCATACTAAGAACCACCCCTGAAAATTTGAAATTGATCCGTCAAACAGTTAACCAGAAAACATGTAAACAAGACTTTACAGACAAGATTTGAGGACAGAAAATCCAAAATGGCTGCCTTGACATTTATCCAGAATGCCCAAAAACTAATCAGATCTAGATTTCTATACTAAGAATCATCCCTGAAAATTTGAAATTGATCTACCAAACGGTTCACCTAAAAACGCGTAGACAAGACTTTACGGGCAAGATTTTAAGACGGAAAATCCAAGTGGCTGCCTTGACATTTATCCAGAATGCCAAAAAACTAATCAGATCTAGATTTTCATACTGAGAATCATCCCTGAAAATTTCAAATTGATCTACCAAACAGTTCACCTGGAAATGCGTAGACAAGATTTTAGGACGGAAAATCCAAAATGGCTGCCTTGACATTTACCCAGAATGCCCAAAATCTAATCAGATCTAGATTTTCATACTGAGAATCATCCCTGAAAATTTGAAATTGATCTACCAAACGGTTCACCTGAAAATGCGTAAACAAGACTTTACAGACAAGATTTTAGGACGGAAAATCCAAAATGGCTGCCTTGACATTTACCCAGAATGCCCAAAAACTAATCAGATCTAGATTTTCATACTAAGAATCATCCCTGAAAATTTGAAATTGATCTACCAAATGGTTGACCTGAAAACGCGTAGACAAGACTTTACAGACAAGATTTTAGGACGGAAAAATCCAAAATGGCCGACAATAAAAAAGTGATTATGAGTTTTTGCTGATTTCTTTTTACAAAATTATCACATATAACTACTGTTAACAATAACATAGGCTTTTACAACAAAGTACACCTGAAATTATTTATAAAGCTAAGAAATAGTTTAAGTATGAAAACTGAAAAACACCATTCAATATGATACAAAGTATTATAGTGCGCTAACTTTTCTTAAAAACATTCAAAATGGCTGACATGACTTCTTAAAGTTTTCTTCTTAAAATTTTAGCATTTGACTTCAAAATGGCCGACAGGAAGTAGGTATCGAGTTAATTTTTTTTATCCACATCTGTATGCACTCATAAGTTATCCCTGAAAATTTGAAGGTGATATCTGTAGCGGTTTTGGAGAAAACTGCTGGACATACGGACAGACAGACGGACGCGCATAGGCCGACAATATGGCCCCACACTATGTGGTGGGGACATAACAATATAGCACCTTAGGATGCGATAAAAAATACAAAAATGCCCATGGGTGATACTCTGTGACTCTAATTTATAAAAATATGAACTTATATTAGACCTTCATTTTTTAAATTGTTAAATAAAAGTTAAAGTTACAAGAAAATATAAGGTATGATAAGACATAGCCATAGGGACCGGGGGTTCGATGGGTACGGACGAAACCCCAGTCTTGATTTCCCCCAAAAAATATTTGTGGAAAAATTCATTGCAATAACTAGAAAAATATATTCAATTTATATGACCAGTAGATAAAAAATAATAAAGTTACACTTTTCTCCAAGTTTGGCAACCTTAGGCACGGGGTGGGATTGTTTAATCTTGGGAAGACCCCGGAGCATCATGACATTATGCAAAAAAAGAATTATCAATTATTTCGCACAATTTATTTTCCAACTCAAAAGCTGCTCCATCTCTGGTGAAATAAACCAACTGTCTACATACTGATTAGCCTTGCCCAAGTCGGTATTTTTTTTACTTATCTGATCTTGAATTATTACCGCCTTGTACAATCCAATACATCCCCGCTGTTATTATGCTGAAATATTCAACGGTTTCGAGATTTCCATAATACCTACACTATCAGGGGTATCGCGAAACCTTATTGATTGACAGATATCGCGTGGACACGACGTGTGACTTCAGGCTGAATGACCAATCAAAACGTTATTAAAGTGCTGATATATAATAATTAAGGGTGCGTTTTCAAACTAAACAGAGTGCTCCTATCAAAATGAATTTGCCTACATACCCCTGAGACTCTTATCGGATAGATAGAATGCACAAATAAAACAAAAGTTTTGCTATTATAGGTAAAAATTTCTCTTGAAATTTCGAAGTGATTTTACCTGTTAATTCTGTCCATGGTCCGCCATTTTTGCGGAAGTTACACTGAAACGCAAACTCCATGAAACGAAACGAAATCACTAGAAAAAACATGGCACACATTGTGCGCATGTGCAGCAAAGTTTAGACCATGGGCTTTCAACTAGAAGGGTAGGCAACTTCCCATATTTCATACATAAGCATTGCCTTTGGGTTTTCAAAATTGGAGAATGTACACATTCCAAGAAAATCTTATGTTGTACTTTTTATTGATGATTAAAAGAAATAACTCAAAAATAAAAACATGATCTTCTACATAGATCTTGATAATTTAATAAAAAATGGAATTCATCATAATTATGACAATACAGCAAGTGAACATTCTCCCACAAATTATGTTTTTATTGGAATGTGTTCTTGAATAATTACCCACAATGCAATACTCAAAGAGAACATCTTATTCTTATTGGTCTCTTTTGTTTACTTTTACATGATATTGAATATATTTTATGCTTAAATCATATTAAAAATTGATTTTTATTCAAAATAATACTAAAACATATACATTTATCTAATACTTTTTGAAATATTGCCATAAAAGAGAAGCATGGCATTGCTCATTTTGAAGGTCTCATGTTATTACATAGAGTTGCATACCCTTCTAGTTGAAAGCCCATGTTTAGACCAATCAGATTATTTGATTATTTTGCGCACATGAATTATTTGCTTCTGAGCACTTACAAGCTTACCACAATAAACAAACCTGGCAGAGACTACCCTTAGCCTACTTCATTTTGGCGAAATTTCAGCTCAAACTCGTGACAAATGCATTATGCATACGCTGTTGTGAAGCCTTGGAGACACTCATTTTAGTAAATATGATTTATGGGGTATACTTTTCTGCAGTTTGTGGGAGTTTGGGACATTAAATGTTAAAAATTCAAGAAAATATGCCAATTAAACGACTGATCAATTAATATATACCAGCACTGTAGGTTGAGCTGCATAAACAAAACAAACTTCCCATCTACGACTTGAAATTCAATGATCTGATCTAGTGTTTCTTTAGACTTACAATATATTGTGTAATTAAATGTACATTGGAAGGTAAGAGTCATTAATATAAATTAAATCATGCGATTCAATGTTGATTTAAAACTGATTTCGCGATGAAAATGCATGAAGACCTAGTCCAATGTAGCGGGTCATGCTGAGTTCCACAATGTAACCTTGCAGGAGGGATGACATAGAACAAACTGCTAAGTAGACACACGGTAACATTTCATTATTTCGTTATTTTCACCATATGAACTTATACCGAGAATTTGTGTTTGGAGTGCTTCTCCGCCCAAAAATATAAAAAAAAATTTATGTTTTGAGTGATTTAGTGAATTTCTTGCAAATTCCTGTAATTTGATTAGTCTAATCTTCTGAAGTAGTAGCAAAACTACTATGAAAATATCGAATCAACAGAATTAATCATATTGTGTACTCACTAGACGTCATTCTATAAGCCTAAGCCTTTTTTATCCGGATCGCCATTTTTTAACCTTTGTTTTGCGCATGCGCTAACACCGCACGAAAAGAGAAACAGCCAAGTTAATAATTTGACAAACGCAGTTGTCAAAGCTTCTGTCAACCCGGTAGGGTAATCTAAATCTAAGCCTATGTAATACTAGGTTTGCATTTCGCACAGGAACCTCTATCAACACATGGCTTCAACTGGTGGCCGAACGTGTAAGTCAGTAAAGAACCCGGGGTAAAGAATATGTTTTCAAAATTTATAGGCGCAATTTTTGGGATTTAGCAGTGGCGGATCCAGAAGCTAACAAGGGCGGGGGCCAAATTTTGAGTTGGTAAAAAAATTTCGAAAATCTAAGGCCCACTTTTTGAAAATTTGGCCTAAAAAAGACCCATTTTTGAGGCCCTGCAAAATTTCATGTCCCCCCCCAGGATACAGTCTAGCCCCCCCCCCTCGATCCGCCAATGTTTAGGGTATTTTTCCCTTTTCTGGTTTGAAATGTGGGACCCCCATCGTTCGCTTCTGGATTTGTCAGTGTTGTATATATCATTAAATTTACTTATCAGATATTCTACAAGGTGGGCTAAAAAAACGATACCCAAGATTGCTCTAAAAACCCTTCGACCTGCACCTTTGACCTTCAGCCTTCACCCTATTGGGGTCCAAAAAGAACAGTAATAGGAGCTATTTTTGCCGATCTTGAAAAGCACTATCTAGGGGCATTCCCCAAGTAAAAAAGAAATCTAATATACAACTAATACATCACCAATAGATCACCAATACACCATGAAAAGTGATTTACTCAAGTGGTTTGTAAGTTATGTATTAAAACTGGCAATACTCAACTAATAAACCACTGTAAGTTTTTTTAGGTGGAGTGGTTTGTAAGTTGTGTATTAAGTCGATTTTTTCTGGAATGGTCTATTAATAGTGTATTAAACTGATCCTTGATTTAGAATGAGAAACCCCTTTTAAATGGCGGAAATAGTTAAAATGTAAGAGAATTAATTCTACAATGAAATGTAGCATTACAACCAGAAGGGTGACTGGACTTTATTGAATCTTGCTCAGCATAATCATAAAGGTATGTAGAAGATGTACATGTTAAATCTTATTCATATTTCTCACTGAATTTAGCACTATAGAGATTTTGTACCTTATGGATGTATAAAATTCTGAGATTTCAGGAGTGATTTGTTAGTAGTCTATTAGACTAGTAGTGGTGTATTAGTGGTGTATAAGACTTCAGGGAGTGATGTATTAGTGGTCTAGTAGTAATACTTGAGACTTCAGGAGTGATCTATTAGTAGTGTATTACATGCTCTCTGATAGGTCAATAATTTTTATCTCATTTGCATGGTAATTTTTTCAACTAATAAACCACCTGTTAAGTCAATGGCAAAAAGTGGTCTGTTAACGAAAATCACCACTAACAAATCACTAATAGAACATGTTCTACTAGTTGAGTATTAGTAGTCTATTAGTGGTTTATTAGAGTGGTATGGCAAACTGTTTTTTTCACTCCACAAGGTTCCATTTTTGATTCAAATTTTTGCAAATGCTAATGAATGGAGGTATTACATTCCCATGATTCGAATTGCTTGTCTGTGATCGATTTGGCACATTGGATATACTGTCATGACACATCTTTTGGATACATACCTTTTGTTTTCATCAAAAAATTCTGAAATTTCTACTCATTGTCAATTTAATGGTCATCTATTGAATGGTAACAATATAATTTGAAATAGATATATATATACTTTCGTCTATGTTGTTTTAGAAAAGACATCAAACACTTCTTTAGTTCTTGGTGTCATATGTTGGGAATGAAATGAAACATCTATCTGAACCTCACTGGAACAAAATGACAAAAACACAACGTGTTTAGATCTCTCAGTATTGTAATTGTACGCAGGAAAGTTGGGTTAATTTAAAAAAAGTATATTGTTAATGAAATAAACGGTTTATATAAAGGTTTTTTATGTCACCACCAAAAAGTGGAGACATTATTGTTATGGTCTCCATTTTTTTACGGCGATTGGCGATCGGTGGTTGGTGGTTGGTGATTAGTGATCAGCAATCGGTGATCGGCATCTGTAACAAATTCTTACAACTTCCAATAACTTAACAAATACTGTTTAGACTGACTACAATTTTTTTCAAAATCATCTACATGTTTCCAGAAATTCAAATCTGACTTTATATTTAAGATTTGACCTTTACTGACATTTTCAAGGTCAAAAAAGGTCAAAAAGGTCTTTTTTCAACTTGCTTCAAATTGACCAATTTTTTTTCCAAATCATCTACAAGTTATCAGCAGTTCAAATCTGACTTACCAAAAAGTGGTGACATTGTTACGGTCTCCTTTTTTAGACGGCATTGGCTCAAGGTCAAAAAAAGGTGAAAAAGGTATTTTTTCAACTTGCTTCAAATTGACCAATTTCTTTTCAAATCATCTACAAGTTATCAGAAGTTCAAATCTGACTTTAGATTTGAGATTTGACCTTCAATGACCTTCTCAAGGTAAAAAAGGTAAAAAAAGGTCTTTTTTCAACTTGCTTCAAATTGACCAACTTTTTTTTCAAAATCATCTACAAGTTATCAGAAGTTCAAATCTGACTTTTAGATTTGAGATTGAACCATCAATGACCTTCTCAAGGTCAAAAAGGTCTTTTTTCAACTTGCTTCAAATTGAACAATTTCTTTTTTCAAAATCATCTACAAGTTATCAGAAGTTCAGATCTGACTTTAGATTTGAGATTTGACCATCAATGACCTTCTCAAGGTCAAAAAGGTCTTTTTTCAGCTTGCTTCAAATTGACCAATTTCTTTTTTCAAAATCATCTACAAGTTATCAGAAGTTCAGATCTGACTTTAGATTTGAGATTTGACCTTCAATGACCTTCTCAAGGTCAAAAAGTTCTTTTTTTCAACTTGCTTCAAATTGACCAATCTTTTTTTCAAAATCATCTACAAGTTCTCAACAGTTCAAATCTGACTATAGATTTTACCTTCCGTTTTTTTTTATGGCGGTTGGCGATTGATGGTGGTTGGTGATCGGGGATTGGCATCTGTAACAAATTCTTACAACTTCCAATAAGTTAACAAATACTGTTTAGACTGACTTCAATTTTTTTCAAATCATCTACAAGTTATCAGAAGTTCAAATCTGACTTTAGATTAGAGACTTGACCTTCGATGACCTTCTCAAGGTCAAAGAAAGGTCAAAAAGGTCTTTTTTCAACTTGCTTCAAATTGACCAATTCTTTTTTTCAAAACCATCTACAAGTTATCAGAAGTTCAAATCTGACTTTAGATTTGATCTTCAATGACCTTCTCAAGGTCAAAAAGTTCTTTTTTCAACTTGTTTCAAATTGACCAATCTTTTTTTCAAAATCATCTATAAGTTCAAATCTGACTATAGATTTGACCTTCAATGACATTCTCAAGGTCAAAAAAGAGTTGACCTTCAATGAATTCTCAAGGTCAAAAAGGTTGCTTCAAATTAACGAATTTTTTTCAAAATCATCTACAAGTTATCTGAAGTTCAAATCTGACTTAAAGGCAGAATCTGATCTATAGGGGGTGACAAAATTACAAGCAACATGTATAATTGCCTACCAATCTCAGGGCTGTCAACTTGGGACCACCTAATATGAGTGACTTCAAAATGTTGGACACCTAAGTCCAAATCTGAACACTTTTGTCCAAATTTTGAACACCTTTGGAGTAGGTACAAAAATTTCCAATGAACATGCGTGACATCAACGGGATTCGCGTGACAAATCCGAACAAATTGCGTTCGGTTTTTTCCGACGTTCGTATTTTTACCGTATCATAAACATATTTCGAAAAAAATTCTACAGAAATATTTTTGCGTGACAATTACCAGGTAAAATGCGTATTTGCGTGACATTTTCTGTCACGCTAAAAAAACTGGCGTGACTTCAAATTCTTCAGCAAATGCGTGACAAATACGCAAATTGCGGGACAGTTGACAGGCCTGCAATCTATTCCTTACACTATCAAATACAATATCTCCCAAAATATTCACAATATGTTATAAATTGGTGAAGTTATTAATAATTCAAAGTGCAAAAATGGGTGAAAAATGTTTAAATTCTCCCAAATAATAAGAATGGTAACCATTCTTATAGAAGAATAATATATTATTGTAAAAATCTTTAATTTTCCTGGAATAAAGTATGCACTTTTGTGATTTTTAGAAAATAGACATGACAAGGAATGACATGAGCCAAAAATATTCTAAAATTGAAACAATTTTTTGTTTAGCCTGCTCGCTATATCTGATTCTCTCTTTAAGATTTGACCTTCAGTTACATTCTCAAGGTCAAGGTCAATATTGCTATATTTTTCGTTTCTAAAAATGCCAGCCATGTTCTGTTCGATGGGATACGCTACACTTTGGCGTTGCCGTTGTTCTGGTTTTAGATAGATTTCACTTGAGCTCATTATTTCATAGCAGTCCCTTCCCATAATGCACCTTATATTCTGCTTACATGTATATTGATATCTAAATTAAAACCGATAATTTGTTAATATGTTAATAAAATCATGTGTAACGTCAGTATGGGTGTCAGTTGCCTGTACACTGAGCATTGATATAATTGATGAATAAACTACTATGCAAACTGTATATATTTTCAATCACAGGCTGACCTATCGAAAGATTTATCCGCTGTCATAAAAATACTAAGAATATTTCACAATTTATATCATAGGTTTCGTTAAATATCAAAGAAAATTACTTACTCCATGCGATGGATATGTCAGCAAGTGCTCCGTCACAGCGGACAAAAAATTTAAACATTATTTTTTATAAATGGATTAAAAAGACCCAATATATCAACATCTCATTAATACCTTCATAGTTATGCTGAAAACATATGTAAATATTATTGTGTCACTATATCATGCCATTAATGGTACATTTTAGAATATGATACTCCGGCGCCATTTTCAATAGCTTTTCCTCCCAACGTTATTTGACTTCAAACAGAAGTGAAAGTTACCCGCAATGATATATCCATTGTATGGAGTAAGTAATTTTCTTTGGTCTAACGAAACATATGAGTTAAAAATAAATTGTGTGGATTTCTTAGTGTTTTTATGAAAAATAACATGCTCCTTCACAGCGGACAAATCTTTCGATACCAGCCTGTGACCTGTGTGAATTAGCTGTCAATTAAGT